AGTTTTGCTTTCTTCCCTACCCACAGCTAAACTTGTTTGTTTCCTTACTCCTAGTCACTGTCCCCTCATTGTGCCACTGTAACTACTCTTGTCAACGTCACCAATAATCTCTGTATTGCCGAATCTAGTAGATCTACAATTACTCGTAATTTCATTTTTGAAAAAGGTAGGTGTTGGTAAAGTTAGTAAGGCCGCAAGGACTTTCGGAGACAGTTTGATATTTTTAGGGCAAGAAAGAAGAAAAGAACTTTCTTTTTCTTAATTCATTTGACACATATTTATTGAGCATTCTTCCAATCATTGAAGATACAGTAGTGAATAAAATGGACAAAAGTCCCTATTATCCTGGAGTTTATGTTCTAGTTAGAAACAGACAAACAAAATAACTAAAATATGTGTCAGATAATGATAAAGGGTTGTCAAGCAAAAACAAAGCAGAGAAGAGGGAGTAGGAGTTTGGGTAGGGTAGATTTTAGATGATATGGCCAGGGAAGCCCTCACTAAGAAAATGATATTTGAGCAGAGACGGGAAGGAGGTGAGAAAGGGTACCATGCAGGTATCTGGCAGAAGAGTGGGCCTGGCAAGGTATTTATTTGGTGTTAGCAAAAATAGTTTTTTGTGGTATGAAATATTTCTATAGAGTTCTTGTTCTTGTGATAAAAGGGAAGACTGGATATTTTTGTGTATAGTTGACCCTTGAACAACACAGGTTTCAACTGAGCAGGTCCACTTTTACACATTTTTTTCCCAATAAATATATCGGAAAAATTTTGAGACATTTGTGACAAGTTGGAAAAACTTGCAGATGAATTTCATAGCCTAGAAATATCAGAAAAATTAAGAAAAAGTTAAGTATGTCATCAATGCATAAAATATATGTAGATACTAATCTATTATTTATTACCATAAAATATAGACAAATCTATTATGAAATGTTAAAATTTATTGAAACTTAATGCTCACACACACTGAAAGACTGTACATTGTGCCATTTACAGTTGAGAGAAGTGTAAACAAGCATAAAGATACAGTATTAAATCGTAACTGCATAAAATTAACTGTAGTACATAGTGTACTGCTGTAATAATTGCGTAGCCACCTCCTGTTGCTATTGAAGTGAGCTCAAATATTGTATCTGCTTAAAACATCCTGTAACGCTGATCATCTCCATGTGAACTAGTCTTCTCTCCAGTAAATTGCATATCACAGTAAAAAGGTATCTCTTGGGGTTCTTGAGTATTTTTTATTGTGTTTACTTCAATATTGTAAACCTTGAATAACATGGGACCGATAGGAATTGCCACTAGTCATGATGGAAGTGTTCCCAAGAAGCAGAGAGACCTCATGACAAGAAAAAGTTGAATTGCCTGACAGTAGATTATATATTGAGGTCTGCAGCTGCTGTTGCCTGCCATTTCAGACAGACCATTCTTCTTGTAAACAGATAACATAAACTTATGGTATCGATAAATACAGTCTGTAAATGCATTTTCTCTTCCTTATGATTTTCTTAATATTTTCATTTCTGTAGGTCATTTATTGGAAGAATACACTATATAATGCATATAACATACAAAATATGTGTTAATCAAGTGTTATCAGTGAAGCTTCTGGTCAGTAGTAGGCTATCAGTAGTTAAGTTTTGGGGGAGTCAAAAGTTACACATAGATTTTTGACTGCACAGAGTTGGGAATTGGCTCCCCTAACCTCTGCATTGTTCAAGGGTTGACTGTATACTGTTAAAAATTCATAAAACAGCATTTCTTTTTCATGATTTAACCTTAAGGAATAAATGAAAACAATATTCTAAAGTTCATTTTCACATTTCCTTTGACATCTAAATGGTTGCATGCGTTTATAGGTGGAAATTTAGATAATGGCATCTTTATTCCTTAAAAGAGATGTAGATCTTTTTTAAGTAAGTGGAACTTTAGCTGAGGGAACATAGTACAGTTCTTTTGGGTTTTAAACTAACTTACTGAGGTTCAACAACTTTCTTAGGAGGGGAAATTTTAGCATTTATATATTTAACATTTTAGCAAAATAATTGGCTTTTGCAAGCGATAAAACTATACACTCTTTGCATTATATTCACAATTCTAATTTATTTAAAGGGGAAAGAACAGATTTATGGATTGACTTCAATATTTGGAAAGATTCATGTGGTCATTAGGTTCAGTCATCAGAATGGGGTCTTCTGAAACCCCCAATGGAGGTCTATATAATGTGACCTATAGCTTCAAGAACTGAACATTAAAAAATGGGTTAATATGATTTATATAATGGTTAGTTTTCAGAGAAACTCAACTGTTAGATGTTTGGAAAAGCTTCACAGACAAGATCCTGAACTTCTTCACTCCCACATATCAGGTATTTAAGAAAGTTTTGGAAACAAGGACTAGGCAGTGGCATGTACCATTGAAATTTAAGAGCCGGTAGTAATGAATGACTGGCCCTTTTCTTTCCTGGTTTCTTAATGTTAGGAAGTGAGAAACATATTCTTAAATTTTGGTTATCTTGTAGATTTTTAACTTCTTTCCTTGAGTATAACTGTATTAATTACTGCATGTGTATTGCTTATATGTGTCTGTAAGCATGAGAATCACTGTGTGTCTAGAGAACATTTTATGGTTTAATTTATTCAGTGATTCATATGGAAGGTTGAAGAGGAAGAAGAATAAGCAGTTACTGAGCTGAATGAAGACTTGATCTTTTGAAAAAAGGTGTTTAGATAGCAAGATTTGAATAAGTTGCCTATATTGTCTAGACCTGAGCAAATATTAGTCTGCTGCTAAAAAGCAGATATATCAAGTGAAGAGGCGGTAGATGGGGAAGGTGCTAGTAAGTTAATTATATACTCTACTAAATAAATAAATATTTTCTCTTAATATTAATAGTTGGTCTGCAATAGCCTTGAAGTGACAGGTACCATTATCATTTCTAAGTATACAAACCTTTCCTATTTTAATTCCGTTTATGTTTGCCTAGGAGCTGAAAGTACTCTTCTCCCATTTCTAGCCAATAATATCTAAGTCCAAATCTAGCTAGAGTCTATGATTCTTTCTTATTGTGTTAATGATAAGATAAAATTATTGATAAGATAGCTTTTTTTTTTTTTTTTGGAGACAGGGTCTCGCTCTATTGCCCTGGCTAGAGTGCAGTGGCATGATCATAGCTCACTGCAACTTCAGATTCCTGGGCTCAAGCAATCCTCCTGCTCAGCCTCCTAAGTAGCTGGGACTACAGGCGTTCACTACTACGCCCAGCTGATTTTTCTGTTTTTTGTAGAGATAAGGTCTTGCTCTTGTTCAGGCTGGTCTGGAACTCTTGGACTCAAGCGATCCTCCCACCTTGGCCTCCCAAAATGCTAGGATAACAGGCATGAGCCACTGCGCCCAGCTGAGGCATGGAACTAGAATGCTAGTTCCATTTCAGGATAATTAATGACACAGGGTTTCATTTCTTTACCATTTACATGGTCATTTATCATGGGATGATTCAGAAAGAGAGAACTCAGATTTGGAATTTAAACAGCACCAAAAAATGATTTGGGGGGTTTCTTTAAAAAAAAAAAACAAAAAAAACACCCTAATTTCCATCTCTTCTCCCATTTCAAAAATAATAGGATTTCATGATTGTTTAATAATAGGAAATCCTAACAAAGTGGAGTTTTCCTATAATTTTGCTGTCCAAAAATAAACACTGTTAAAACATTTTATGTCTGTTCTTTCAGTGTACTTTCACTGCTTCAAAGTTAGCCTTATACTGTACATACTATTTTATAACCCTCTTTTTAAAACTGTATTATGAATGTTTTCCATGTTAAATGATCTGATAAATATTTTAAATAGCTGCATAGTATTCTGTCGTTTGTAACCATATTTATTTTGCCAATCCCCCATCATTGGGATGCTGGCTTTCAAAGTTTTGCTGTTACAAATGATAGTATGAATCTTTGAATACTTCTCTGGCTATTACTGCAGGATTTGGGTTTTGTTTTTTTCTTTTTGAAACGAGATCTTGTTCTTTTGCCTGGGCTACAGTGCGGTGGCATCATCATAACTTACTGCAGCCTCTAACTCCTGGGCTCAAGCAAGCCTCCTGCCTTAGCATCCTGAGTAGCTGGGACTACATGTGTGCACTACCACACCTGGCTAGGTTTTTTTTTTTATTTTTTGTAGAGATGGAGTCTTGTTAGGTTGCTCAGGCTAATCTTTTAGATAGTTTTATTTGTATAATATATTTAGTTTTTGTTTCACTGAAACAATGAAACTTTGATGGAAGGAGAGAACTAATATTTATTGAAAGCTTATCTACCAGATGAAGAAATGTATATGCATACATACATTTCGCAGTAAGTTAACAATATGTAGAACATGTTCAGCAAATAACAAAGGGCTTTGTGTAAGAACATGTTATTCAACGGTCATAGGAGAAAATGAAAACTTGCAGATGAAGTTTTTCTGTTTTGGCTTTGGAGTACATATTATAATAAGTGTTTTGGGGGGTTTTTTGTGTGTGTGTGTGTGTTTTATTTTTTAAAAAGGGTTTTAAAAAAGGCCTAAAAATCATGTTACTTGGTATTCTTAGCTCTAGGAGAAAATAAGTGGGCAATTCTCCTGTGAATCTTGAGTTTTAGTCATATGATTACTGTTTTAGATGATTAATTTACAGACTACATTGTATCTTTAAGTTAGAAGTGAGTAGTCATTATCTGCTAGGTGAAGATGATTTTCTTTCATTTAAAATCCCAGGCATAAGTTTTTCAAATTTTGCACTTGTAGTATCTAAGAGGTGAAAATTAAGTGATTTAAGGATGAAAAATTTCTGTTACAGAGGAAGTATGGGAGCAGTGAGATGACATGACTTGCTGCTTTTACAGAGCTTATTTAGTACCTTTTGATTATTAGCCCACATATGTACCCTATTGTGATAGGGAGAATTGTTGTTTTTAGGACCTGGTATTTGTTACCTAACGCAGTGGTTTGTTTTGTCTCAGTCACATCGATCAGACAACAACATGGCAGGACCCCAGGAAGGCCATGCTCTCTCAGATGAATGTTACAGCCCCCACCAGTCCACCAGTACAGCAGAATCTGATGAACTCAGCCTCAGGTGAGTGAGACATTATAATTAGAGCACTTGGAGTAATGCTTATGCGTTGGTAAAACTTTCTGTGGAAAACAGTCATTATTCTTTTAAGGAAACTGGAGCATGGGTGATATTTATGTTCTATCTAGTTTCATATAGGAGACGTATTTTATTTAAAAAATAACATATGCTCTATTGTAGCCTTGTTTAGTCATTGATGCATAAGGGGGCCAATAAGTGAAAGCCAACAATATTTAAGGTTTTGGTTCTGAAACGAGTATCTCAAATTCTTAGTTTTGCTAATTTTAACATGCCTGTGTTTTATTCTGCTGCTTTCTTGTGTCTGAGGTCTTAGAGTTGAAGTTTCCCACTTCCTTTTGTGATCTGGATGGAAAGCCAAGCTGTGGTGTTCTTAATCTAACTTTTAAATCAGTTATTCATTCTATCCTGAAAATACCTGGAAGGCAGTAACTTAACAAACCCCAAAGAACCTTTCTTACTCCCACAATAATATGTCTAACACATATTATTAAACACATTTCTACCTTTTTCACAGAAGATACTTAAATCCTTTTTTCTGCCTCTTATCTGGCAGTTTACTTGAATCTGCAGTTTTTCTCATCTATATAATGGGGTGTAACAATGCCCCTTACTATAGAGGGGAAGATATTAAAGGAAATAATATAATATGTATAAAGCTTCTATTACATAATAGCTACTAGTTTAGCTAAAGTTTAGTTTCTTTACCTTCCCTAGTCAATTACGTGTTGTCTGGCCTCTTTCTCTGTTGTTAGGTAGGTCCAAGGCATAGCTAGCCCATTATGTGCCTTTGCACATATTAGGAAAAGGTGTCCCTTCCTCTGGGAAGATGTAACCCCATGCCTGGCATCAGGGATTGGAGCATTTGGGCTGGGTTTCTGTTGACTCCCCTTTCCCTCACACTTTACCCCCCTGCTGAGTGCCCTAGTTTAGGGCACAGATGGCAACAACAGTAAGTGAGGGAGCTCTCATGACTTTGATGGCTTTCTCCTTCACAGCCCATCCATTTTCCTTGACCAGTAAACCAATATAATATTAGCTGCACTATAGATTTTCTTATACAATAGCCTTTGGCAAGGGAATGTTGAGGATAGGGGAGGGTGGTACAATTAGTTGACAAAGAGGGTCTGTTGATTAGGAAAGCTCACAGAACTTGAAATATCCTTTTGCCCCCAAAGATGGTGTCAATATATCAGAAGTTTCTGCTATTCCATAACTCTCTACTCTTGCTTTTGGTGGGTTGAACACACTTGCGTTCTAAAGAGTTAAGAGCGAAAAACAAAGAATAAGGTAATTGAGCTTTATTTATATAAACTCTTAAAGAAAAATTAATTCATTAAATATTTTAACTCATAGTGTGAATACATTTACTTATTCTCAGAATCTGTTTTATAAAATGTGACATTTAATTTAAATCTTAAAATTTTAAAGGCAAAAATTATGTAGGTATTTATTGATGTTTTTTACTTGGCGACTATTTTTTTAATTACCAAATTTTCAAATAAAGTTGTGAAATCTGCCTTGTATTTATGTTCCAAAAAAGATGATTTACATTATTTATTTTGCCATGCTCCATCTAAAAGTATACCTAGGAAATTAGTAACACATAACTCATTAAACTGTATTTTGGAAGATTAAGCATTTTGCATCTAACAAGGTTGATTGAGATTCTATTAGAACATTGGTTTGTTTGTGTCCTGTTTCATTTTCTGATGGTCATAATCTAAGGAAATGAAAGAATTTGGCCTCGAATTTATGTTTAAAATCAAAGGTATATATCAACTTTGTTTTAATGGGTTTTAAAATAATTGTGGATGTTTTATTTCAGCTGTGTCTTATTTGTAAAATATGAAATGTTTTAATATACTACATATAAATTAGTAGGCATGCTTACTTAGTATTTAGTGAAGAGACAGCTTTAACACAGTTTTGTGAAGTGGCAGGAAGCATGACTATGGAGGGTTAGGAGTGAGGGAGAGAAAGTATGAAGAGAACATTGTGGGGAGAGAGTTGGAAGGAGGAACTAAAATTGGAAAAGCCACTCCTGAAGAGACTTCAAATCTTTAAATGGTGGTAAAAGATATTTAATAATGGTAATAGTAATCATTCTTATTTACATCACAGGCATTGTGCCACGGTCATTTTGCATTGTCTCATTTAATCCTCATAATGGCCATTTGTTAGGTGCTGTAAATTAGTCACATTTAATATATGAGAGAATTTGGGTAACCTCCCCCAAATCACACAACTTTTAAGTGGTGGAAGCCAGATTCAGATTTTGGTAATGGGGTTCCAGATCCCATGCTCTTAATCTGTATGTTAACTAGGGATAGAATACCTGACAGAGTAAAAGCCTGAGAGAAAGCAGAAGGGATAGGACCTACTGATGCACTGGAGGCTCTAAAAATACTAGTAGATGTACTGGGGAACTGCCTCTCCAGAAGGTGGTGGATGTGGAGATGGTGTTTGCTTAAGGAGGCTTTGGTTTTAATGAAATACTGTCCCTTAAAGAGGAGAGAATATTTAAAGACAGCATGCTAGGTCATTGACTTCGTTGGGGGATGGTCAGACAGTGTGATGAGTTAGGAAAGGAAGAGATGGGCTGACAGATACGGGGAATATCTTTATGACAGAAATCATAAAGCTTTTTAAAGCAATAGTATCAACAGAACTGATCCTAAAGAAGAAAAAGAGTCACCAAAAAAAATTTCAACATGATAATAAGGTATTAAGTATATATGAAAATTCCCCAAATCAGACAAATTTATATCTGGATTATTCCGAATTTGGTCACAAATACAAATGGAGGCCTAGCTATTAAATCAAGTGCTGAGGTTATTGGTAATATCTGTGTAGTGCATGCCTCTTTTCACTGTGAATTACAGGCACTTGTTTGTTGTCTTTCCTTTCTTCCATTTCACTGCATATTTAAGAATAAACAGGGCAGGCATGGTGGCTCACGCCTATAATCCCAGCACTTTGGGAGGTGGGAGCAGAGGCAGGAGAATTGCTTGAGGCCAGAAGTTTGAGACCAGCCTGGGCAACATTGCAAGACTGTGCAAAAAATTGTAAAAATTAGCCAGGCACTGTGGTATGTTCCTGTAGTCCCAGCTACTCAGGAGGCTGAGGTTGGAGAATTGCTTGAGCCCAGGTGTTCAAGGCTGCAGTGAGCTATGATCATACCACTGCACTCCATCTTGGTGACAGAACAAGACTCTGTCACTAAAAAAAAAGTTTTAATTAGAGGACTCTTCTACATGTTTTGACATGCTTTGGAATGAATGTCATGGGAACTGTAATCTTTGATATACCTCATGTTCACATAAAACTATAGCCATAATGTCATGTTAATAAGGTTTCAATATAGGGGCTTCTCTTTCTCCATCTGGAAAACAGCCATGGTGTTTGGTGGCTGTGTACTCTTCAGTGTGGTACCCAGTAATTGCCTAAATAGCTTTAAGAGAAAATGATCTTACTCTTAGAGATTGCACAGAATGTGGAAGTAACTTTATGTCTTTGAGAAAAACAGCTAAAGTGATGTACCTCTCTGCTTGGAATAAAAGATCTTTTAAGGAGTTTTTCAAGCCTAGAGACAGTGAACAAGAATTTTGAGAGCATCTAAGTACATTTTGAGGGCATTCACTGTAACAAAGCAGGAAATGGCTTCCAGTTAAGCAGGCTACCTACCCCACAAAAATCTTCACCCTGAAGGGAATGCCTTCTGAATCTCCTAAGGCAAACAGCCTTCAGATAAAAGAAAGGTACACAGCGTTTTTGAAGCACTTTACTGTGTTAATTAAGCTAACTGCAATTTGATTTACATTTTTATTACTCACTAATTTAACAAGAACTCTCTAGTTTTGCTCTTTTTAAAAAAAGAATTCTCATTCAAAATTTGAGTCTAACTTCTGCTTTGACTTCTAAAGAGACTACTTCCCTTAAAATATCGTCATCTTTGTTAGACTCCTCAAACCTGTTTTCTGCATCATTTTTAATGGTTGACTGGAGTGAGTGATCTTTTATGATTTTCAGTTCTAAGATTTTATGAAATTCTATTTCATTAAGTCTAATTCGATTTAGCAAAAATGATCAGAGTTTAGTTTTGTTTTTACAAGTTCTTTTTCAAAATATGGGGTTGAAATGATGGATTTCGTTACTAGACTAGAGATCTGTGGTTTGTAATTGGGCAAATTTCCAAATATCTGTAATTGAGAAAAATCACCTAAAACCAAGGTGCACCTGGAAAACATTCTAAAGGCAAGACAGTATATCTCATAAATAAGATTAATTTGTATTCTTTAACTGTGCCATTTAATTGGCAGATAAATGACAGTGAACTTTGTGAAAGGAATTTGAAATGTGAGGAAAAGAAAAAGGAAATGTGAATAATTCAGTAAGATAATAGTTTTATTATACTTATTCCTATATTAAAATATACAGTATATGTACATATGTATGTATATATAAGCCCTAATCTATTAAATTATTTGAGGTGATTGCCTTTTAAAAGTTTTATTATAAGTAAGTAATGATGCTTATACTACATTAATTGCCTTTCGATGCATGCTTGGGATCCATATGAAATAGTTCTTTACATATAAGGAAAACATTTAGTGATTTTTGTGTTTGACGTTAGAGACTAAGGACTTGGGGTGAGAAAAGTGATGTTTCTCCTTTAACTGGCTCTGTTTATATAATAACACATTAAATTTTTTAGTAGTAGCTTGTTAACACTGATCCATAAGATTGCTGAAACTTAATAGTAAAGTCAAGAAAGTGTACTCTATAATGATCCGTAAATCACTGTATGGTCAAAGGGTCGTTAACTATTTAGGATCATTTAAAAGTCATAAACCTTTGCCTCAGGAGCTAAGGCCTAAAGAAAAAGAGAAAAAGAAATAAATGATTTTTTTTAAAAAAATAAAAAAAAATCATAAACCTTGATATATATTAAGCAAAATGAATAACCCACTTATCTGCTTTGA